AAAAAAAAAACTCCATTTTCATAATTTCTTCTTCTTTCTCTGTAATACTCTGTATGTTTTCAAGAAACCATGAGATAATATTCGGCTCCCGAAAAGTTGTAACATGTAAATTTCTTTGTTTACTTTCGTCCGTGTCGAGAACCAGAGCATGTTAATTTAGTCTACATATCCCGGAACACAAAATAAAAGTATTCGTAACATTTTTTTTCGGAAACTACGGAGAATATTCACGTTAGATGATATTTTCCAATTTATATGTGTTCAACAACCAAAACAACGAAGCATGTTTTAAAATGAAATTTGTGATCCATTACAATTGGTTGTCAAAAATGGCTAGAATATTTTAAATAAATAAATAATGAGTCAATGACCAACTGTCATTCTCGTTTCACATCACATGCATATATTTGTTTCATCACCACCATCGTGGGTAACCAACCGGTGGTAAGATGATGATGTTGACAAAAAAAAAAAAATGGTATCACTTGAAAACGTTCTTGATATTTTACTTTTCTTTTTATTACCTTTTTACTATTTATATGTACCAATTATAATGTTTATACATGAGCAAGTCACGTTGGCTGGAAGTTTTGGTACCAATTGTAATATTCAAATAATTCGTGCAGACTTTTTATATTTTTTGTAATCTTGTACAATCAGGATTAAACGTAGCAATTGGACACCGTAACAATAATCTAGAGCTGGCAAATCCTTGATTACTTTGTATATTGTTCATTTAATGACCAATCAATTAATGACAATTTTCTTACAAATCACATGATTCACATGCATACATGTACTTACCTATAATTTTCCATTACGTGTATATTTCTGTGCTTTTATAAATAACCTCGCGAGACACGTTTGTAATAAAATTATCTTAAATAAAAATTATTTGATCAAAACTAATATTTGTAGATGAACCTACCCCTCTAATTTTTGTTACAAAAAGTTAATGAAATCATATATTGAATGAGTAATGTAGTAAAAACTTTAACAAACAAAAAAAAGTAATGTAGTAAAAATGTTTTTTGATAATGTAATAATTAGATATTTTACTAAGAGTCAATAGTTCAACTGGTACATAGAAACCATTTTTCTTTTAAATTTTAGATACTACTTTCAATATATCTTTTTTCATCAATGTCTGCAAATTGATATTATAAAAATCCACTATTGTATTGTAGTAATCTAAGTTTATAAATGAATTATTAATTTTCCGGCTGAAGTTATAACTGAATTCCTAAACACAAACTTATTATTTTTAATGTAATAATATCATAGACGTGACTATAAATTGGAACTAGAAAGCAGAACACGTTTCCTTGCGTTCTCTATTTTCTTTTTCTCAGTAGTTCCTCTTCTTCTTCGACTCTGAACAG